CTAAACGCTGCTAAACGCTGCTAAACGCCGCTAAACGCTGCTAAACGCCGCTAAACGCTGCTAAAACGCCGCTAAACGCTGCTAAAGGCTGCTAAAAACACGCCGCTAAAGGCTGCTAAACGCCGCTAAAGGCTGCTAAACGCCGCTAAACGCTGCTAAACGCCGCTAAACGCCGCTAAACGCTGCTAAACGCCGCTAAACGCTGCTAAACGCTGCTAAACGCTGCTAAACGCTGCTAAAGGCCGCTAAACGCCGCTAAACGCTGCTAAACGCCGCTAAACGCCGCTAAACGCTGCTAAACGCTGCTAAACGCTGCTAATGTGGGATGTTTTGAAGAGAGAGGGATTTGTTTCTGGGGTTAAACTGGTCTGGACCCGCGGGGGTTAATTCCTCTGATGCAGATCCCAGAGCTCTGAGCCGCTAATAAACTCTAAACTCTTTCTACTAGATGCAGATTAATCACTTACAGAATTGCGGCATCAATATTAAACTGTGAGTGTCTGTGGAATCGCTTTCCCTCAGAGCGGTGGAGAAATGCAGCCCAGGACTTTAGATCTCTGGTCTCTGAGGCCAGTGGCTGCAACAACTGAAAGGTCCTCATGTGATGTCGGTATTAGAAGAATTTCCACATGTGATTCTCCGATTGTAACAAGTGGATCCATTATTAGTTCATTAATACATCTATAGTTTCTAGCAATTTCTTTTTTTATCCTTACACAGACTTAACACGAGGACTCCCAGAATTCAGAAACAACTAGAACTCCCAGAGCAGTCCTTTTGACGGCTTCCATTCAACAGTTTTACAGTTTCACCAATTACATTACCTTTAATTCTTGCTAAAACTGGTGAAAATAACTTGAGACACAGACAAAACAGTTAGCTAAATATTAAAAGCTTTGGTAATGCTAACTGCTGGAAGTAAAAATTGCGTTGCTATGGTAATGCTAACTGCTGCAGGTAAACATTGCGTTGCTATGGTAATGCTAACTGCTTCAAGTAAACAGTGGGTTCCTATGGTAATGCTAACTGCTGCAGGTAAATAGTGTGTTGCTACGGTAATGCCAACTGCTGCAAGTAAACAGACGGTTGCTATGGTAATGCTAACTGCTGCAAGTAAACAGTGTGTTGCTATGGTAATGCTAACTGCTGCAGGTAAACAGTGGGTTGCTGCGGTAATGCTAACTGCTGCAGGTAAACAGTGTGTTGCTACGGTAATGCTAACTGCTGCAGGTAAACAGTGCGTTACTATGGTAATACTAACTGCTGCAGGTAAACAGACGGTTGCTATGGTAATGCTAACTGCTGCAGGAAAACAGTGGGTTGCTACGGTAATGCTAACTGCTGCAGGTAAACAGTGGGTTGCTAGGGTAATGCTAACTGCTGCAGGTAAACAGTGGGTTGCTATGGTAATGCTAACTGCTGCAGGAAAACAGTGCGTTGCTATGGTAATGCCAACTGCTGCAAGTAAACAGACGGTTGCTATGGTAATGCTAACTGCTGCAAGTAAACAGTGGGTTGCTGCGGTAATGCTAACTGCTGCAGGTAAACAGTGTGTTGCTACGGTAATGCTAACTGCTGCAGGTAAACAGTGCGTTACTATGGTAATACTAACTGCTGCAGGTAAACAGACGGTTGCTATGGTAATGCTAACTGCTGCAGGAAAACAGTGGGTTGCTACGGTAATGCTAACTGCTGCAGGTAAACAGTGGGTTGCTATGGTAATGCTAACTGCTGCAGGAAAACAGTGGGTTGCTACGGTAATGCGAACTGCTGCAGGTAAACAGTGGGTTGCTATGGTAATGCTAACTGCTGCAGGAAAACAGTGCGTTGCTATGGTAATGCTAACTGCTGCAGGAAAACAGTGCGTTGCTATGGTAATGCTAACTGCTGCAAGTAAACAGTGCGTTGCTATGGTAACTCACAACATTACATGTCTACTTTGGATCACAGCTTGTCCAGGCTGGTCTCTGTTCCCAGTGACAGAGTCTTGTGTGATTTCTCGTATTACATGAATTTCCGAATAATCCAAGGTCTCTGTATGCTAAGCTAATGCTAAGCTAATGCATTGTACTAAGCTAATACCTTGTCGCTCCAGCAACACGGAGCAGAAACGGCATTAAAGCAGATTTGTGTCACTCCAAAAATCTGTCTGTGCCCGAGTTTCAATCCATTTTGGTTTTAAAACGTGTCCCGCAGAGACAGAGACAGAGACATTACAGACGCTCCGCAGAGACAGAGACATTACAGACGCTCCGCAGAGACAGAGACATTACAGACGCTCCGCAGAGACAGAGACATTACAGACGCTCCGCAGAGACAGAGACATTACAGACGCTCCGCAGAGACAGAGACATTACAGACGCTCCGCAGAGACAGAGACATTACAGACGCTCCGCAGAGACAGAGACATTACAGACGTGAAGTCAATAATTCCCTTTGACTGACGTGTCCAAAGTCGATGCAAGAGCGAGACAAGAGATCTTCTCGTTTAACATCTGCA